ATGGAACTGGACAATGCTTGATAATAATGAGATGCTAATGATGTTGTTTTTATTGCTTTTGTGGTGTTTTATACTGTTTAATGTTTTCATTGATATTATGTTTTATGATTTGTTGGAAACCGCCTTGAGTCGCCGATTGGCTGAGAAAGGCGGTATACAAATACAGTAAATAAATAAATACATTAAATCCACATTTATCAAATCTGCAATGATATTTTCGTGACATGACTGCATCCTCAGGCTATCGTGGCCTGTATTGCGGCTGTCATATAGTTCAGGATTTCAGTCCAATTTTAGGATTTCTGTCCAATTATTGTTGTGGTTGTTGCAAAGGCTGGGTGGCCATCTCTTGGGGGTGCTGGTGTTTTGTGGTGTGTGCCACATCCCAGTCTCTTGGCTGCTACTGACGAGTGTTTCTCACCCTTTTCCCCGCCAGTCCAGCCATGGAAGCCGAGGAGAGCGCTGTGGAGAGCAGCAGCGATGCGGCCCCCCGTTTGGGGCCCCGGGAGGAGCCCTCGGAGAGCGGCCTGGGCATGGAGGGCTCGGAGGCCGTGTCCGCCGACAGCAGCGATGCAGCCTTGGCACCCGGCACCGCCTTGGAAGCTGACCAGTCCGGCATGGGACAGAGTTGGGACCACAGGGGGGCCCCTCTGGTAAGGCCAGGCCCCTTCTGGGCAACCTTTGGAAGGAGGCTGGGCAGTGTGTTGTCCAAGGCTTTCCTGGCCAGAAATACTGGGATGTTGTGTGATTTCCGGGCTATATGGCTGTGTTTTGGCAGCGTTTTCTCCTTGTCGCCTGCATCTGGGCTGGCATCCTCAGAGGATCTGATGCTGGTAAAGCAAGTGATACCTGTTTTATCCAAGCTTGGAAGAAAACGTGGAAGTCTGGAGTCATCTGGTTACAAAGCAGGTTCAATTTTACTTAGAGCAGTTCCAAAACACATCCATTACAGTAAGCGAGCAGACATGAAGTACACAGTACGCAGGACAAAGGAAGTAGAAGTGTAAACAATTCTGCAGCTGCTTGGCAGATACCAGACACTCCCTAATTTTCTCACAACTCCACACAAAGAGTTTCTCAGGGTTACTTTCTCACAGCCTCTAACATAAACATACATCATAGCAATACAATCTTGTGGCAGCCATATATCTTGTTGTTCGTTCGTTCAGTCGTCTCCGACTCTTCGTGACCTTATGTTGTTGTTGTTCATTCTTTCAGTCGTCTCCGACTCTTCCTGACCTCATGGACCAGCCCACGCCAGAGCTCCCTGTCGGCCGTCACCACCCCCAGCTCCTTCAAGGTCAGTCCAGTCACTTCAAGGATGCCATCCATCCATCTTCGGCCCCTCTTCCTTTTGCCTTCCACTTTCCCCAGCATAATTGTCTTCTCTAGGCTTTGCTGTCTCCTCATGATGTGGCCAAAGTACTTCAACTTTGTCTCTGGTCTCTAAGGACTATTCCCTGTAGTAACCTACGGATGTGAGAGCTGGACCTTAGGGAAGGCTGAGCGAAGGAAGATCGATGCTTTTGAGCTGGGGTGTTGGAGGAAAGTGCTGAGAGTGCCTTGGACTGCGAGAAGATCCAACCAGTCCATCCTCCAGGAAATAAAGCCCGACTGCTCACTGGAGGGAAAGATACTAGAGACAAAGTTGAAGTACTTTGGCCATATATCTACTGCATGAAATTACATTTAAACATATAACATACATCAACATACACTGACAATTCCTGTAGGATCTCCAGCGCATATACCAAGCATGGGCAAACTTGGGTCTTCCAGGGGTTTTGGACTCCAACTCCCACCATTCCTAACAGCCTCAGGCCCCTGAACATGAGGAAGAACTTCCTGACTGTGAGAGCTGTTCAGCAGTGGAACTCTCTGCCCCGGAGGGAGTGTGGTGGAGGCTCCTTCTTTGGAAGCTTTTAAACAGAGGCTGGATGGCCATCTGTTGGGGTGCTTTGAATGCGACTGTCCTGCTTCTTGGCAGAATGGGGTTGGACTGGATGGCCCACGAGGTCTCTTCCAACTCTAGGATTCTAAGATGGGCATCCAGCCTCTGTTCAAAATCCTCCAAGGAAGCAGCTTCCACCAGACTCCAAGGCAGAGAGTTCCACTGCTGAACAGCTCATACAGTCAGAACGTTCTTTCTCATGTTTACCTGGAATCTCCTCTCCTGTCATTTGAACCCATGGCTCCTGGTCCTTGTTCCAAGGGCATAGACTCACAGACTTGGATCAGCCAAGGGCCGAATCCACTGGGTCCCTCTCTCTCGCCCTTGAGCTCAGGGTTCTCTGTCTGTAGGTGACACTTGCATTGTTCTCAGCCTCTCCTTGGAGCCATAGGTTCAAATGACCTGAGAGGAGATCCCACCTGAGCATTGGGGAAGAACTTCCTGACTGGAAGAGCTGTTCAACAGTGGAACTCTCTGCCTCAGGGTCCAGGAAGTCTATGCCCTTCCTTCCTTTCAATAGAGGCTGGGTGGCCATCTCTCGGGGGTGCTTTGATTGTGTTTTTCCTGCCTGGCAGAAGGGGGTTGGACTGGATGGCCCACGAGGTCTCTTCCTACTCTAGGATTCTATGATTCTAGAGAGCAAGGAAAGAGAGGGATGGAAAGAAGGAAGATACGTCTATTTTGCCACTGCAGCCTTTCATCATGGCCTGGGGTGGCCAGCGCATCCCCTGGCCCAAGCACTGCCCACATAGGATTTAGCCATTGCTGTTGGAGTTCAGCCTGTGATTGTGTTTCAGGATCAGGGTGCTGTGGATGTGGGAAGTGATGCCAATGGCTTTCAAGATGGCCATGGTTTGGTCAATGACATTGATGCAGAAAAGGGCCATGAAGGGTGTGGGGATGATAGTGTACTCCCTGAATTGCTACCAGAGAGTTTCCAGGATTTGGGGCTTGAAAACAACTGGGCACCTGGCCCAGCTGCAAAACTTAATGAGCAAATAGATAGGAGGCAGGAGATTAGTCAAAACAGGCAGACCGAACAGTGCCTTCGGCGATCTGCCAGAATCCGACAGAAAAAGATAAGGGAATCTTAGATTAGTGTGTATTATTGTTACGTTGATTTTTTTTGTTGTGCTTTATTGTAAACTGTTTTTATATGTTGTACACCGCCGCGAGTCGCCCTAGGGCTGAGAGCGGCGGTCAACAAATGCAGCAAATAAATAAATAAATCTCAATCAAAGCGAAACCAATTTCTGAGTGCTTGGGGTAGCTTAACAAGTGGATAAAAGTTCCAAGTATGGGAAATACAGTCAGATGAAGCATCATTGGAATCAAGTGTATTCTTGTCTTTGTTTCATGGAAGCTTTGCCTGGAAGATTCTTCTCTAAGTATTTCTTGTTCATGGTTTGGATTCTTGGAATGTATAAATGCCTATTCATGCCTTGGATTAATGTTTCCTGTTTTCCTGGCCAGAGAATATATAATGCGGTGGGTAGTGTGTTGGATTCAAAGCTGAGGAAAGTTACTTCAGAGCCCCGCTGTGGAATCCCAAACCTTGTAGTTACTTTCCAAACACTGGTTGGGCTTTTACTTTCAATCCCTATTCAAGTTGAAGGTCACAAGGTGGCATCGGGCAGCTATGATATCTCAGGCCTCTTGGTAATTCCCTCAAAATCAAGGAATAAGAAGAGAAAATGAGAGTGTTAAATTGTAAATAAGTTAAATTGTAAAACAAGTATGTTTGGCGGGGACGAGACGTTCTCGGTGGTGGCCCCTTGGCTGTGGAAGGCCCTCCCTATGGATATTTGATTGGCCACCTCCCTTTTAATATTCCAGAAAAAAGTCAAGACGTGGCTTTTTGAACAGCCATTTGCGAATGCAAAGTAACTGACACAGGAAAATGGAATGACTAGGCAATGAGTCCAGACAACTTTTTTAACAAGGAGACACTATGAATTCATATTTTATTTATTTGTTTAGTTTTTATTATATCTTATGTTTTTAATTGTATTTATGACATTGTAAGCATTGAATTTTGCCCTGTTAACCGCCTTGACTCGCCTGCGGGCTGAGAAAGGCGGTATACAAACACAGCAAATAATAATTTCCTGAATTATATTAGAGAAGTGTGGATTCTTTTTTTATGGACTTTGCTGAACTTTACCTTGGACTATTTTTGCTCCTGCTTATCTTCTTACCTAATTGGATTTACCTATTCCTTTAAAGTGCTTTTTACTTGCTGCTTTTTAATAATCTTAAATAAAAGGATTGTTTTCCAATCAACGGTGTGGTGTTTACCGTCAGAGGGCTTTTCCTGTCCTGGAGTGCAACAATTGCCTCCCCTGAGTGTCCTGATGCCCGTTTCTCGTCCTCCTCCTTCTTCAGGCCGAAATGCCCGAGAGCAGCTCCAGCGCGGACGCCTTTCCTAGGGCCTACTTGCCGGACTCCTCCTCCATCGCCCGGCCCCGAGGGGCCTCGGCCGTGAGCCAGTCTGTCCCGGCCTCTCGCTCCCCGCAGGGCCTGGTCCACTCCAGCGCCCTCCCCGAAGGGACTCCCGTCGTCTCCAACTCGGCGGCCTCCACCTCCTCCGACCTGGGCTCCGCCATCGACAAGATCATCGAGTCCACCATCGGCCCGGACATCATTCAGCGTGAGCAGAGGAAGGAGGGCGTTGGGGGAAATGCAGCCCTTAGAACAGGCATGGGCCAACTTTGGCCCTCCTCCAGGTATTTTGGACTTCAACTCCCACAATTCCTAACAGCCGGTAGTTGAAGTCCAAAATACCTGGAGAGAGGGCCAAAGTTTGCTGCTATGTATGCAGCCTAGAATCACATTGGCTTTTCTAGCTTCCACAACAAGCTCCCAAGAAGGGAAGCCACTACCTGGTCCTTCAGACTGGTGAAAGGCACTGCTCTGGCCACTTCTCATAAGGCTTTGTTTCCAGAACTCCTTCGGCCATCTTGACCACCCTCTTTTGGGCATGTTGGATCTCCTTCTTGGAGTGATTCCTAGCAAATGGACTGGATTTGGCATAATCTCCTCTCCTGTAGCGTTGGGTTCTTGCAGGGTCCGTGGGTCTCTTTTGGCCTTGGTGGATCCTCCACCGGCCAAGGAGGAAAAGCTCACCCTCCTCTTGACTTTCCCAACCCAGGGTGCATTGCTGTGACGAGCGAGGATGACGGCGGGGCACAAACCACCCAGTACCTGATCCTGCGAGGGCCGGATGACGGTGAGACAACGACCTTGGTCCTGTTTTTTCTTTGTTCAATGTGTTGGATGTTCAGTGTGTAGGATGGATTGTTGTTCCCTCGTTTCTCTCTGAAAAATCCTATCCAGTTATATCTTTACCTGTTCACGTCAGCATGTTTTCAATTTTAATCTATGTTGGGGTTCAGCCTGCGTGTGAACCTGATTCTCTGATTGTATTTCCTGATGCAACCGAACATGTATTTTTCCTTGATGGTTTGGAAACTGTTGATTCTGAGGTCAGTGGCTTGGAAAGTGAAACTGCATAGCCTGATGAGAATGTTTCAGATTCCAGCGGTGATAGCTCTCCAGAGGAGCTAACACCTGCCTTTTTAATGAGGATAGAAAAGGGCAGATTTGGAAAAACAGGAGTGAATCGCAGAGTCTGCGAAGGTCAAGCAGATTAAAGGAAAGGGAGGCACAGGCTTCAAAGTCTGGAGGCGTGTCCCGAAACAGTTTCTTTAGTTTAAAGCGTCTCTCCCCGGGCCATCCCGTTAGATCAAGCATTGTTTAGACTGAGGCAATACCTTGGCAGATTTCCCGTTTCCCATGGCCTGCATTCCCAGGGGCTTCTAGTTTCCAAGTACGGTTAGTGAAATGCTAACAGGTTCCAGGTTTTTATAGTAATGCTTTTGGAATTTTGATCTAGTTCTGAGATATTCCTGACTGCTGAGTTTTACTGTGGCTTTTTGACTTTGTATTTTCCTCTATTTTGTAACCATTTTACATCAATAAAAAAGGATTGTTTTTTTCCCACAGTCAAGTGTGGTGGATTAATCTTATGGACTCGTTTCCTGATCTGGGTTGCAACAATCTATTACATTTGGTCCAGCCATTTTAAAACTGTTTATATGTCACTACTGATAGTTGTTTTGTTATGTGATTTATATGATTTGTATTTTATTGATTGTTTTATTAATGTTGTGTTATTGATGTTGTTGGATGTATTGTGGGCTTGGCCTCATGTAAGCCGCACCGAGTTCCCATGGGGATTATTATTATTATTATTATTATTATTATTATTATTATGTTGCGCCTCAGAATAGATTCACCTTGATAGATCACCAGAACTGCACACAGACTGAAGTCTTCGTAGTTTATTAAAAAGTAAAAGATGAAAAGTTTAGAAAGCAAATAGTGTTCCAAAGATCAATAAAACATAGCACTGTCAAGCAGGATTCCCAAATGGCACCAACGAAACAAAGTCCCACGAGAACATGACAAAATCCCAAGACCATGGACACAGGAAAACGAGCACAAGCTGCTTGGTTGAGCGAGAAGTTGCTCTGACCAAGGTTTGTTTTCAAACACACTGCTTAATACCCTTTGCAACACAGGAAAGCATTTCTTTGGCCTCTGACCTCCTTCTTGTTGGCTATTCTCACACTCCTTCGAACTCTGAATTCCAAACAATCAGCCCGATCTAAGATTCCCGCTTCCTCAAAGTCAGGCTGCTAGTTAGTGTCAGCCTGGTTGCCTTTGAATCCGCAGGACAGAGTGAGCGCCTGTTGTTAGCCCCAGCTCCTGCCAACCTACCCGTTCAAAAACATGCAAATGTGAGTAATCAATAGGTACCGCTCCGGCGGGAAGGTAACAGTGCTCCATGCAGTCATGCCAGTGGCCACATGACCTTGGAGGCATTTTCAGACAACGCCGGCTGTTTGGCTTAGTAATAGAGATGAGCACCACTCTTGGCCCATGTGGTCTCTTCCAACTCTGTGATTCTGTGATGGTGATGGGTGCTGAAGAGTGACGCCTGTGTGTTTCCTTTCTTCCTTCCTTTCCTGCACTTCAGGTGCCCCTGAGATGTCGCAGGTGGCCAGCTCAGTCCTGGCGCATAGCTTGGCGTCGGAGGCCCTGGCAGAGGGCCCCACCTCGACCTGCACGGAGCCCCCTGTGGCCCCGGAAGAGGAGGAGGAGGAGCAGGGGGAGAAGGAGCTTCTGTTGCCTCCGCCGGAGCCTTCTTTGCCTGGGGAGCCTGACCTGGAGAGCCTAGAGGAGCTGATGGAGGTGGTGGTGGTGCAGCGCTTCCGGTGCAAGATGTGCCGCTACAAGAGTGCCTCCAAGCAGACCCTCATCCACCACATGCGGGAGAGGCACTTCCAGCCAGGTGAGTGGGCAGGGCTCCCTCAGGGGACCCTTGGGGGATTTTGTGGAGTGTCGAGGCGGCATAAGTGCGTGATTGTAAGACTGTAGGATCTATATAGCAATATTAAATAACCACTCACAAGCCAGTTTTGCTTTGAAATGGATATATTGCTTGTATCTCTGCAGCAAAGAAAGACACTACTGACTTTTTCCCACCACCACTTCCTTTTATACACCTTTCCTGCCCATCTCCCCCTCTTCTCAGTTTCCTCATTAGAGCTTGTTGCTTCACAAGTTCCAATAAAAGGTTTCCAGCATCCTCTGCTGACTTCAAAATGTCACAGAGAGAGAATTCATTCAGCCAGGCTGATTCAGTCAGGATGTCACGGAGGGAATTTGTGGTGTCTTCATGCCATCAGAAATTGACTCCTGACAGTGATTTATAGTTTTCCTTCCAATCACGCCCTCCCTAGATACACTGCACACTGGACTGATTGTCTCAGAGGCAAGCCAGGAAACTAAACCCATACACAGCAGAATCCTTATCAGTTGTCAGCAGAGTGTAACTGCTCTGTCTGGCCTTGTGCTGCTCACTGTTTAGAAAAACTCTCTGGTTCAGTTTCCACTCAAACTCACAGGAGGCTTTTAATCATGGCACTGTCAGACCGAGAGAAAGAAATTCACTCCCTTCTCCTCCTGGCCCGAGCTTGCAAGATAACTTGACACCTGGATGGGTCAACGATAATAGCTGCAGTTTGGAGATAAGCCAGAACCGCAGGGAGATTCAATGTTTACGTAGGTCTGAGAGAATCCGACAACTGAAACCAAAGATTAGAGTTAGCCGGAATCCGTTTCTGGGATTTAAAGAGTGCCCGCGAGGGGGATTTCCTCAGACCAAGCATCGTTTAGTATCAAGTACAAACCTCCTGGGTTTTCCAGTTTCCAGTGGTCTGGTCTCTAAGGGAATTTCTGGCTTCAAGTGAGAATTAGCTGGGGCTGATCTGTTCATAGATTTCTATTGAGAGTTTTCCGGACATTCCTGCTTTGGATTTCCTGCAAGCTTTCTGGACATTGCTGTTTGCTGTTTCATTTTGGCTTTTTTACCTTTGGACTTCAATCTATTTTATATTCCTAAACCAAGGTGTGGTGCATTAATGACAAGAGGGCCCTGTTTCCAACTCTGGAGTGCCACACTTGCATCCCGTGAGCACTGACCAGGTTTTGCTCTAACTGCAGATCTGCCACAAATGGCAGTGACTTGCCTGGCGTCCGGGGGTTGTGTGGTCAGCCAAGGTGGCACAGCCGCTGCTCAGTGGAGCCTTTGCTGGACCAGCCTTTGTAACGGTGCTCTTGTTGTTGCCCATTCCCCCCAGCTCCAGCCCCTGGCCAGAAAAGGGGTCGCCCGCGTAAAGGGGTCCTTGCGCCAAAGGAGCCAGATGGAGAAGAGGAGGAGGAGGAAGAGGAAGAAGAGGAGGAGGAGGAGGAGGATGACATTGTGGACGCAGGCGCCATCGACGACCCCAAAGGTATGCCCCAAGGACCCCCCAAAAATTTGTAAAATAGGATCTTTGGTGAGTAGGTATACAACCTCATACTATTGCTCAGCTTCAACACTTTTGTCATTGGAGTATACGTGTGTCCCCCCTCCTTGTGGGAAAGCTCGATTCCACAATCCTCGTTTTAATGAGCCCCCCTCCGCAAATAACTTGCTTCTCCTTTTAGCTCACCCGTATTTTTAATCAGTTTTTAATCAGTTTCTTAATCATTTTCTCACACGTGTAACTGCCCATTGTTACTGTGACTGTGTTTATTGCAATCTTATATCGTTAATATATTCATATGTTTTATGTAATTATGATGTTGTTTGTTGTATGTGGTTTTTGGTTTTATTTTGCTGTAATTTGTTGATTGGGCTTGGCCCCGAGTCCCCGTTGGGGAGACGGTGGCGGGGTATAAATAAAGATGATGATGATGATTATTATTATTATTATCATCATCTTCCTGAGAAGAGGTAAAAACTCTTCATTTGAGTGATTCTTCTCTTTAGTGGTAAATATCCACATGTCCTTATGCAAGGCAGTTAGGTTTCTCAGTTGTGAGACTGATATACCTGGATGTCTCTTTGAACTGTTAGGGACAAAGGCATGCCAATGCACAAAAAACAGCAGAGATTCAGAGGTGTTATTTTCAGTTGCCCCAAAACATCTACTCTCCCTTAATACATCTTGGTTTAAATCATGCTCTCGAGAGACAACAAAAGTGGTCTTCAATAAAAATAACATACTGTATATACTCAAAGATAAGTCGTGTTTTTCAGCCTTTTTTTGAGCTGAAAAAGCCTCCCTCGGCTTATAATAGGGTCAAGGCCAGGCAGCAGTTTATATTCGAGTATATAGGATTGTTGTTTTACTCACAAACTTGATGTATTCAGCTTATAGATACTTTGCATTGAATTTGCATTGAAGATAGAATTGAAGTGGTTTCTCTATGCCGATAACACAGGGCATCTTTCTCATAATAGTTCAAAATCTAAAACATCTCTAATGGAGTCTGTACAGTCTGAGAGTCTAACGGTGTTCTGAAGTCTAAAAATAGAGTCTGAGATCTGAATAATCCCAGATCTGATCACACGGTCTGTAGCTCCTCCCACAACATAGAGTTAAGGAAAGCTGCATAGCAACACACCCAAGTCTGTATAGTCTGAGAGTTTAACGGTGTTCTGAAGTCTAAAAACGGAGTCTGAGATCTGAGTAATCCCAGATCTGATCACACGGTCCGTAGCTCCTCCCACAACATAGAGTTAAGGAAAGCTGCATAGCAACACACACGTCTGTACAGTCTGAGAATCTAACGGTGTTCTGAAGTCTAAAAATGGAGTCTGAGATCTGAATAATCCCAGGTCTGATCACATGGCCTGTAGCCCCTCCCACAACATAGAGTTAAGGAAAGCTGCATAGCAACACACACAAGTCTGTACAGTCTGAGAGTCTAATGGTGTTCTGAAGTCTAAAAATGGAGTCTGAGGTCTGAATAATCCCAGATAGTCTGTAGTCCCTCCGACGACATAGAGTTAAGGAAAACTGCATACCATTATAGACTTACAATATAATAAACAATATGAATTATTGACATAACAAACAATTAATATAGGAGGCTTGTAGAAGATTGCTGTTTCCAGCAAACCCGGCCCCCCACTCTTGGTCCCCCTTTCCTCCCTGCCTCCCTCCCTCCCTGCCTCTCAGCTCTGCTTCCCTTCCGTCTTTTGGGGCTGCAGGCGACAGCGACTACAACCCGTCAGAAGACGAGCCCAAGGGGGGCCGCCTGCCCCGGCCCAGCTGCCGGCCCCTGCCCTCCTCCAGCCAGGAGCAGCGCCTGCGCCGCCGACCAGGGAGGCCCCGCAAACACCCGCGCCTGGAGGGGCCCCCTCCGCACCAGCAGCCACAGCCACAGCAACAGGAGGGTAAGCAGGAAGCAGTGCACCCCTCCCTTGCCCTGAGCCCAAGGGGGTGGCCAGTGCTGGGCACATGCACACGGGGCCCTGGGAGACCGGGATCTGACCGGAGCGCCCCCCAGATGAAGCTGGCAAGCAGGAATTTAGGGGTCTTTGCCAGGAGCCAGAGACCAATCAGACTCTTTAAAGAGTTCTTTTTCCCTGGCAAGACAGAGGGAAGCACCCAATCCCTGATTTTTCCCAATAAAAGGTCTCACCAAGTGGAAGGAATTGCCACTGAGATGTTTATTTGTTTATTTGCGATTCAGCTGAAAAGGATGCAGAGCGGCAATCATTCGCCAAGCAGAGCATGTGGTTACAAAAGTAAAGGCCATTTTTATAGAAAATGCAGAGTTGTGAGTTTCAGAATTCCCACTCCCCCCTTCCCAATCCCCCAGCTCGAAGGGGATTGGCTGACGCGCAAACAGCTGGGAGGAGGCTTGGCCGTCCCCCATGCATCAGGGCCAATCACAGGGCTTTCGCGGGACACCAGAGCCTATCAGGAGGCTCCTGCTATCTCGACGCTCTAGCGAATCAGAAGGGAGGGAGGCAGGATGAAGGGAGACAATGCATTCTGGAGTGGATTATGGAGTTTTAATGTCCTTAAGCTTATCGAGTCCAGGGATCAGCCTGCCAAAGAAGCCACTTTATTGTCCTGAGATGGGTCTGTGATAAGCATTGATGGCTTAATCCAGGTTTTCCTCTTACAATCAGATAGGACACAAAGGGGAAACTTTTGTGAATGTCCTTAGTGGAAAGGTTTGAAAGAAAGACGACTTGGAGGAAAAGAGGACTTTCCTAAGGTCATATTCCCCCCATTGTTATATGATTAAAAAGTCTGCCAAACGGAAATCCTAATGGTGGCCCAACTCCGAAGTCAAAAGGATTTCCTTGACTATTGTCCATGCAAAGAATGTCCAAAGGGGCTTTTCATGTTTGCTGATTTCTTTTCCAGAGGCAGGGCAGCTTCCTTGTAGATTTCCCCCAAGGAGAGGGGAAGGGGGCAAAAGGGTCAGGGCAAGGTCAAATACATGAAGGGAAATATAGAAATACAGGAGAAAATATGAAAATACAGAAATCATAATACAGAGAGTAAACCCAACTACCTTCCCCCAGTGTCCATAGTTCATACGATTCATAGGATGGTCCATAAAGGGAAATATATCCCTAAGGGGGAAAGAGAGTCCCTTGCTTGTGAGGTGGGGGACCCTCAGGAGCCCAGGTGTGACTCAAGTGGGAAAATTCAAATACTTCTGTGGCATGATTTTCAGTAATAAATTGGTTACTTTCTGCTGTAAACATATGAAAATAGGGTATAAAGTCTTGATCAAATGATACACACCAAAGTGACCAAGGCTTAACCCTTATTATCCAGCCTGGCATCCTTGCCCTTAGCAAAACTATAAGTTACTATCTCTTATGGGGGGGGGGGGGTCATGTTTGACTTCACTCTCTCTCAGCCTCAGAGAAGGACAATGGGGTGACCCACCTCTGAACTCATCTGAGCAGCAAAGCCCCAGGGTGGCCATAGTGCAGCTCAAAACGTATCCTATAGGTCCACACTGACCCTATGGCAGCGTAGATTGTCAAAAATATTAAAGATTAACTAGGTATTTTTGATTACAAAAGTGTGATTCAAACACTGAAAGAGTGAGTAGGCCGAAGCCTGTGAGAGTCAGTGGGCCAAAGCTAGTGTCGTCCTGAGGAGTGTGAGGTAAACCTCTGTGTGAGAGAAGCCTCGTGTGAGAAAGCTCCAGTGTGAAGGCTGCTGCATGCCGAGCTATAATGTACTTCTTGATTCATATTATGGAAACCTAGTTCTTGTAAATAGTGCTGGGCACATGCACACGGGGCCCTGGGAGACCGGGATCTGACCAGAGAGCCCCCCAGATGATGCTGGCAAGTCCCACTCTCTCTCAGCCTCAAGGAAACACAATGGGGTGACCCACCCCTGGACTCATCTGACCAGCAAAGCCCCAGGGTGGCCATAGTGCAGCTCAAAACGTATCCTATAGGTCCACACTGACCCTATGGCAGCGTAGATTGTCAAAAATATTAAAGATTAACTAGGTATTTTTGATTACAAAAGTGTGATTCAAACACTGAAAGAGTGAGTAGGCCGAAGCCTGTGAGAGTCAGTGGGCCAAAGCTAGTGTCGTCCTGAGGAGTGTGAGGTAAACCTCTGTGTGAGAGAAGCCTCGTGTGAGAAAGCTCCAGTGTGAAGGCTGCTGCATGCCGAGCTATAATGTACTTCTTGATTCATATTATGGAAACCTAGTTCTTGTAAATAGTGCTGGGCACATGCACACGGGGCCCTGGGAGACCGGGATCTGACCAGAGAGCCCCCCAGATGATGCTGGCAAGTCCCACTCTCTCTCAGCCTCAAGGAAACACAATGGGGTGACCCACCCCTGAACTCATCTGACCAGCAAAGCCCCAGGGTGGCCATAGTGCAGCTCAAAACGTATCCTATAGGTCCACACTGACCCTATGGCAGCGTTCCAAAGAGCATACTATGGCAGTGTAGATTGTCAAAAAATATTAAAGATATTAACTAGGTATTTTTGATTACAAAAGTGTGAGTCAAGTACTGAAAGAGTGAGTAGGCCGAAGCCTGTGAGAGTCAGTGGGCCAAAGCTAGTGTCGTCCTGAGGAGTGTGAGGTAAACCTCTGTGTGAGAGAAGCCTCCTAGAATCCTAGAATCAAAGAGTTGGAAGAGACCTCCTGGGCCATCATCCAGTCCAACCCCATTCTGCCAAGAAGCAGGAATATTGCATTCAAATCACCCCGACAGATGGCCATCCAGCCTCTATACCTAGAATCCTAGAGTTGGAAGAGACCTCCTGGGCCATCATCCAGTCCAACCCCATTCTGCCAAGAAGCAGGAATATTGCATTCAAATCACCCCTGACAGATGGCCATCCAGCCTCTGCTTAAAAGCTTCCAAAGAAGGAGCCTCCACCACACTCCGGGCAGAGAGTTCCACTGCTGAACAGCTCTCACAGTCAGGAAGTTCTTCCTCATGTTCAGATGGAATCTCCTCTCTTGTAGTTTGAAGCCATTGTTCCATTGCGTCCTAGTCTCCAGGGAAGCAGAAAACAAGCTTGCTCCCTCCTCCCTGTGGCTTCCTCTCACATATTTATACATGGCTATCATCATATCTCCTCTCAGCCTTCTCTTCTTCAGGCTAAACATGCCCAGCTCCTTAAGCCGCTCCTCATAGGGCTTGTTCTCCAGACCCTTGATCATTTTAGTCACCCTCCTCTGGACACATTCCAGCTTAGAGTCAATATCTCTCTTGAATTGTGGTGCCCAGAATTAGGTCTATAGGTCTGACCCTATAAAGCAATTCCAAAGATCACACTATGGCAGCGTAGATTGCCAAAGCTAGTGTCGTCCTGAGGAGTGTGAGGTAGACCTCTGTGTGAGAGAAGCCTCGTGTGAGAAAGCTCCAGTGTGAAGGCTGCTGCATGCCAAGCTATGATGTACTTCTTGATTCGTATTATGGAAACCTAGTTCTTATAAATAGTGCAACCTTGTTATTTCACAACAAAGAAAAGCCTCCAAAGGAAGAGGCAACATTGGTCTCTGTGTTTATGTTCTCCGGGTGCTGGGTCACGCTGCTGCTCATAAGTTACTCTGCTGTACATTCATGGGGAGGGTCTTTTGTTAATAAGCCCACTCACCCAACATAGATCCCATCCTGCTGGGCTTCCAGGAGGAACCCAGTTTGGCCCAGCTTCTTCCTGGCTCCCTTGGTCCGGCATATCTGATCATAAAGGGGGTCTCGACTAGATGACCTTTGGGGGCCCCTTTCTTCCGTCTTTGTGGGAAGAACCACTGCACCAGCTGCTCATTTGGGGGAGTAGAACCATGTCCCCTGAGTATATAGAAAGGCGGAGGCTTTCTATATACTTTCTATATAAAATAAATATATTTATTTATTTATTTGCAGAGGCTGGATGGCCATCTGTCAGGGGTGCTTTGAATGCAACATCCCTGCTACTTGGCAGAATGGGGTTGGTCTGGATGGCCCAGGAGGTCTCTCCCAACTCTAGGATTCTAGGATTCTGTTTCTGTGATTCTCTTGGAGAAGCACTGACTATTTGTTTACATTGTGCAGGTGGCAAAGTGGAACCGGTGGTCTCCTCCCAGTGTGGCCCCCAGGGAGGCCCCCAGGGTCCCGAGGCGGCCACCTCCTCCTCCTCCTCGGACCCAGTGCCTGTGGGGGACCCGGGCCTCGCGGAGCCCATTGTGAGCCAGTCGGACTCGGAGAACAGAGATCCGGCCTCCCAAGAGGAGGAAGAGGAGCCCGAAGCACTTCTACCCCGGAGGCGCGGGCGGCCCTCCCACCGCTTCCTGGGCAAGAAGTACCGCAAGTACCTGGGGAAAAGGTGAGAGGATGGGCATGAGAAGCAGCGGGTGGCCCTAGTGTGGACAAGAGAAGGGGGACCCATGGGGCCCAAGGCCTGGAGACCATCTTAAGTCACCAGGGATGTTGGATGGGGGCAGGAGAGCCTTGCTTAGATATTGGGAAGGGGTGTCCGTGGTTGCATTGTACGCCAGAGACTTGGACACAAGGCAACCATGGATTCAAATGGCAGAAAAAGCGTTCCCAACTAAACATTTCAGAAGGGTGTCCAGTGGAGTCTCCTTCCCTGGAGGTTTTTAAACAGATGCTGGAGGGCCATCCGTCGAGGGTGCTTCGATTGTGTCTTCCGTACTGCTCGAGAGCAGTACGTGTGAAAAAGATCTTGGAGTCCTCGTGGACAACAAGTTAAACATGAGCCAGGAATGTGATGTGGCGGCAAAAAAAAGCCAATGGGATTTTGGCCTGCGCATCAAGAGGAGCATAGTGTCTAGATCTAGGGAAGTCATGCTCCCCATGCTCTATTCCGCTTTGGTTAGACCACTACCTGGAATATTGTGTCCAATTCTGGGCACCACAATTCAAGAGAGAGATTGACAAGCTGGAATGTGTCCAGAGGAGGGCGACTAAAATGATAAAAGGTCTGGAGAACAAGCCCTATGAGGAGCGGCTTAAGGAGCTGGGCATGTTTAGCCTGAAGAAGAGAAGGCTGAGAGGAGATATGATGAGAGCCATGTATAAATATGTGAGAGGAAGCCACAGGGAGGAGGAGGAGGGAGCAAGCTTCCTTTCTGCTTCCCTGGAGACTAGGACGCAAGGGAACAATGGCTTCAAACTACAAGAGAGGAGATTCCATCTGAACATGAGGAAGAAGTTCCTGACTGTGACCGCATCTCTGCCTATGAACCCACCAGGAGTTTGAGATCTTCCGGGGAGACCCTGCTCTCGATCCCGCCTGCTTCTCAAGCTCGGCTGGCGGGGACGAGAGATAGGGCCTTCTCGGTGGTGGCTCCTCGGCTGTGGAACGCCCTTCCTACGGACATTAGACTAGCACCATCTCTAATGGTATTCCGCAAAAAGGTGAAGACCTGGATGTTTGTGCAGGCGTTTGAGTAATTTAGTGCAATCTGGTAATGGAATATAGGAATGGAACAAGGGACGACGAACCTGGACTACGCTTGGATGATGAGAAGATTGGGTACGGTTGTTTTTTGTAATAATTGTGCATTGTAATTGCTTATTGGTAATTTATGGATAATGTGTTAAGTCAATTGTTATATGTTGTATGGAACCACTGCTGTTTCTACTGTTTTTACTGTTTGTGAACCGCTGTGAGTCGCCTTCGGGCTTGAGATACAGCGGTATATAAGCAAAGTAAATACCATCTGAACATGAGGTAGAACTTCCTGACTGTGAGAGCCGTTCAGCAGTGGAACTCTCTGCCCCGGAGTGTGGTGGAGGCTCCTTCTTTGGAAGCTTTTAAACAGAGGCTGGATGGCCATCTGTCAGGGTGCTTTGAATGCAATATTCCTGCTTCTTGGCAGAATGGGGTTGGACTAGATGGCCCATGAGGTCTCTTCCAACTCTTTGATTCTATGATTCTATGATTCCTCCCAAGGCAAAAGGAGTAGTGATAATGATGATGATAATACACTTTATTTATTTATTTATTGTTTTTGGTTTTTTTTGGGGGGGTTACATTTTTGAAAATCTGCTTTGATGCCTTTATTTCACAGCATATGAATAAGATTTCGTTGGGAGTAAGAAAGGGGTCAAAACTGATATGAAGAACAACAGTCTGTTCGAAAGCACTAAAATAAATCATTCTGTAACATCAGTGTCCACTCTTAATCAAAGCTGAGAAACAATTAATTTGACAAAAATACTGAATTTGTGGAAGAACTCTATATTGTAAGGCATTTAGTTACAGGGTTTTTTTTTTCCTTTTTTTCTTCATTTTTTATTTATTTTGTTATAATTTAATACATTTGTCATGCATTGTTTGTTTTACAGCAGATACATTTTTTCCATGTATTGCATTTATTCAATTTAACATAAACACATTAAGTAAACATACCTTTATCACTAAATTATTCCTATACTCTATAACTACTACAAATTCCAACTAACTATAAATCAATTCAGACTTCTCTCAATTTACAAAACAAAAAAATAATAATTAGAATCTGACCAATCCTTATAATCAAGTCACTCATTCTTCACTCTCCAAATGCAATATAATCGTAACATATATACAACATGCAAATTCACCCCGCAGGGGACTCAGGGCGGATTACAATGTACATATACATGGCAAACATTCAATGCCATAGGCACACAACATATATAGACAGACACTCAGAGGCTATTTAACATTCCAGCTTTTGATGAGGGTATTCTGGCCACCAGGGGAGCTGTCGCTTCACTGTCCATTTGTGACACTGATGAAGTACTTCCTCATTCTTTTGCATGCTTGCTGGAGATTTTTATGGCCTTGTAAATTTGTTAAATTAGCCTCCCCGCATAAGCGGTACCTAAACATTCCAATTTGTCCTCTGATGAGCCTTTGCACAATTAAGACTTGTGCGTCAACTGCGACCGTACCTCGGGAAGGTGGATCTGGCCGGGGTGGTCCACGCCTTAGTCACCTCTAGACTGGATTACTGCAATGCACTCTACGTGGGGCTGCCCTTGAAAACGGCCCGGAAATTTCAGAAGATCCAACGGGCGGTGGCCAGGTTGTTAACCGGGGCTCCTTACAGGGAGCGGTCAACCCTCCTGTTCAAGGAGCTCCACTGGCTGCCATTCATCTACTGGACCCAATTCAAGGTTCAGGTTCTTACCTACAAAGCCCTGAACAGTTTGGGACCCGCCTACCTGTGTGATCGCATCTCTGTATACGAACCCACACAATCTCTTCGATCTTCTGGAGAGGCCCTGCTCTCGATCCCACCAGCATCGCAGGCGCGTTTGGTGGGGACGAGAGAGAGGGCCTTTTCAGTGGTGGCTCCTTGACTCTGGAACTCACTCCCTAAAGACATCAGACAGGCCCCAACTTTGGCAGTCTTCAGGAGGAGCTTGAAGACGTTGCTGTTCCAGTGTGCCTTCCCGGAATAATGAATCCCATAGCACTTTGTCCTCCAAAGCACTTTATATTGTTTTAAGCCTGCTTGTATGTTTCCATAAACACTAGTATCGCTTTTCGTTCATGGCCCAGCATGATTTCCAATTTTAACTCTACATTTGGCCTTCCCACTGTTTTAATTATGTGTTGCTTTTTTGATAATGTTGTGTATTTTATTGTCTATGTTTTTTAATTGCTTGTATTGATGTTTTATTGCTTTTGTTGTTGTGTTTGGGCTCGGCCTCATGTAAGCCGCACTGAATCCCTTGGGGAGATGGTAGCGGGGTACAAATAAAGATAATAATAATAATAATAATAATAATAATAATAATAATAATAATGGGATCTCCTTCCCTGGAGGTCTTTGAAGAGAGGTTGGACGGGTATCTGTCAAGAGGGATTGGAGGGTGCCTTCCTGCTGGGCATGATAAGGGGGCTGGACTGGGTGGCCCCTGGGGATGACCTTTTGCTGAGCGTCCTTTGGCCCCTTCTCCTTCCAGGTACGGCTACAAGTCGTCGAAGCCCCTTCTGCGGCCCTTCCTCTGCCGGATCTGCGGCTCCCGCTTCCTGACGCAGGAGGACCTGCGCTTCCACGTGGGCTCCCACGAGGCCGGGGACCCCCAGCTCTTCCGGTGCCTCCAGTGCAGCTACCGCTCCCGCCGCTGGTCCTCCCTGAAGGTGACCCCTCCGTCCTTCTCTCCCCAAGGCCTTCGGGGTTGGATTGCGGGTTTCACTCGTGGTTTGGGCCATAGATGTTGCGGTATTAGTTTCTTGCAACACAAAATAAGGAGAGGGAGGAGCTGGGAATTAAAATTGTGCGACATGGTGTAATTCCTTTACAATAGTGGAATACAAGTTTCCCAGTAATAGGGGGGAAAGGATGGCTATTAATCAGAGAACGAAATGAGAATCAACAGCCACAGACCCGTACCTAATATTATTGTTGCCTGCCATAGCATTGCACTCACTGTATATACTTGAGTATAAGCCTAGTTTTTCAGTCCTTCTTGAGGCTGAAAAAGTCTCCCCCGGCTTATACTCGAGTAAATATTATTTATTATTTTACTTTGTTGTTGTTGTTGTTATTATTACATTTATTATTTTATTTTTGTTGTTGTTATTACATTTATTATTTTACCCTATTGTTGTTATTACGTTTATTATTTTACTCTATTGTTATTGTTACATTTATTATTTTACCGTATTGTTATTATTACATTTATAATTTTACTCTATTATTATTATTTTTCTCTATTTATTATTATTGGAGGACATGTAAGCATATTTACATTGAAGAAGGTTAGAATAATGGTTCAATCAGAGTTGGACAGTCTTATCTTGAATTACAGTTTTATGTAAATATTCAAATACATTTAACCTAAGGTAAAGGTAAAGGTAGTCCCCTGACAATAAGTCCAGTCATGTCTGACTCTGGGGTGTGGTGCTCATCTCCATTTCTAAGCCGAAGAGCCAGCATTGTCCATAGACACCTCCAAGGTCATGTGGCCGGCATGACTGCATGGAGCGCCGTTACCTTCCTGCCGGAGCGGTACCTATTGATCTACTCACATTTGCATTTTTCGAACTGCTAGGTTGGCAGAAGCTAGGGCTGACAGCGGAAGCTCACGCCGCTCCCCGGAATCGAACCTGCGACCTTTCGATCAACAAGCTCAGCAGCTCAGCGCTTTAACCCACTGCGCCACATTAATGTAATTTTATTGGTATCTATTTTTATTTTGAAATTTACCCGTAGCTGCTGCATTTCCCACTCTCGGCTTATACTCAAGTCAATACATTTTCCCAGTTTTCTGTGGTAAAATTAGGTGCCTCGGCTTATATTCGGGTCGGCTTATACTTGAGTATATACGGTAATTTCCGGGCCCCATATTGTTGCTTGCACAAATCTTGGCCCGGCCTTTTTAAATTTTTTAATTGCCTTGAACAGGCAGGATTATTTTTAATATATGTGTGTTATGGTGACAATTTTTATGCTTATATTTTGTTTTGTTAATCTTATGGTTATGTTGTTTTTTACTTTGTATGTTTTGTGATGTTACCTGGGAACCGCTCTGAGTCCCCTCGGGGAGATGGAGCGGTATATAAATAAAGTTTTATTATTGTTATTATTATTAGGGCTGGGCGGTTTCGTTTCATTAATTCGTAATTCGTTAATAATTCGTTAATTTTTTCAATTACAAAACGATAACGAACCATTCTGGAGCAATTATTAAAAAAAACGAATTTTCAAAAACGTTTTGTAAATGCTTCGTATTTCGATATTGTATTCGTTTCGTTATTGTTTTGAGGTCGTTTCGTTATTATTTCCGCATGTCTGGGCCAGTTTTATGGTTTAATTAGTGAAAAAAAATTATAATATCACACCAACAGTCAACAACAGGGGGAGAGGGAAGCTTCAGAAGGTTTTGGAGGTTTTTTAGCGTATTTCGCGGTCGCGTCCGCCATTAACGAATCGATTCGTTATTGTTTCGGAAATCGATTCGTTAATTTTTTACCATTTACGAAATTTCGTAAATATCGAACTTTTAAAAAGGAAAATTTTGTAATTATTTTAAATATCGAAACAAAAAAAACCCCCAAATACAAATCGATTTTAGAAACAAATTTTTCCGTTGTTACCCAGGCCTAATTATTATTTAACTCTGGTGCTTTAACCCCCTCCCCTCTTCTACTCCCCCCGCCTCCCACCCTCAGGAGCACATGTTCAACCACGTGGGGAGCAAGCCCTACAAGTGCGAGGAGTGCGACTACAGCAGCGTCTACAGGAAGGATGTCATCCGCCACTCCGCTGTCCACAACCGAGACAAGTGAGCCTCCCTCAGTCCCCTCCTTCCCTTCTACTGTGGGAGGGGAGGTTGTATTACTGCTAATAGTAGTAGCGCTAGTACGTTTATTTATCCTCCAATTTTCCCTCTCAAATATGACTCCCAAGTAACTGCACAGGGTGCAGCAAGGCCCCTTGGCTTCTCTACACTTCTTTCTCCTCCTTCTTCCTTCCACATCCTCACCACCTTCTTTCGCTTTCTCCCTTTCGTTTAGGAAGAAGAGAGCCGACCCGGTGAGTAGCCACTTCCTCACCCGAATGCCATTCTCTTTTATGGATTGATTTCCAAGGTCATTTAACCAATTTCCACCTCCAATGTTGCAACCACCGAAGGTGCAAGCAGGCCTGCAAACAGCCTTTTGGCATCAAAAAGCTTCTTTTATTTCGTTCACAATGAGACAGAGTATACCATAGAGCAATACAGAGAAAGAAAGTAGAAACACAGATTCTATAGTTACATTGGGAACACAAACAAATGGGATATTACATCATTCCACTCAACATTCACTCATGCATACGTTACCATCTCTTCTTCCTTCTCCTGGAAAAGAGAACCGAACATAGGCCAGATTGCGTTCCCTGCAAATCTGCCATTTTGCAAATACACCATCTCTCCGTCCCTTGAAAACGATGGCAAGTGTACAGAACCTGTGCTCCTGCAGTCTGCTACACTTTTGGATTGTAAAAAGGTCTCTTACATAGCAACATTTTGCTAATGTTGCTCCAAAAAGTTGTAAATGACTGACAAATTGTTTTCCACCTAAAGTTAAAGCTTACCGATTCCATCAGTTCTGGGCAGATCAGTTGACTTTCCTTCTTATCATAAGGAACCATTGTGTTGACTTAATTTAAAAGAGTCATTGTCTCTGGTAATGTAAACATGTTGTTTTCCACCAAGAGTTAATCATAGTCTCTGGTCATCAATGCCAGCAATTCTCATCAACAACTTTTAATTATAGTTCATGAATTAAAAACCAGACCCTGCTTTCCTGCAGCCTGTTTCCTTTTGTAGTCTTCCAGGGCTCATTTTTTAGGATGGCATCTCCAGGCTATATAGGCCCCAACCATACACCTTTCATACAATTTCATTCAAACCACGCTTCATATATTCATCACCGGCCTGACCACAGTATCCATGGGATGCCATAGGATTTCTCTTCCATGTCTTGTCTGTGGTTCAAGGGGGGGAGCAAGAAGACCTAGAGACCTTAAGTCGTTGGGCTTTGCTTCTCAGCTTGAAGGCCAAGGTCTCTTTAGGGCAGACAGGGGTCGTTAAGCTGCCCTCACCCCATGGACAGGTGTGACGCGGCAGCTAAAGAAGCCAATGCAATTCTAGGCTGCATCGAGAGGAGACTAGATACAAGATCAAGGGAAGCCCAGTCCCCCTCTCTTCTTCTGCTTTGGCCAGACCTCCTCACCTGGGATAATAGCCCTGCGTCCAGGTCGTGGCCAAGCAATTCGTGGATACAGCAATCTCTAAGAGGGAAAGTATCCAAAAAAGGATGACCAAAATACCCAAAGGAAACCTGAATTCCTTTACAGGGCAGCTAAGGGAGTTTAGTTTGGAAAAGAGAAGGATGGGAGAAGGGGGCATGAGGACCATGTTTGAATATTGGAAGGAGGGCACATTGAGGAGAAGGGGAAGAGCTTGTTTTCTACTTCTCCGGAGACACAAGGGAGCAAGCGAGTCAAGCTGCAGGAAAAGAGATCTCAGCTAAACATTCAGAATAACTGTTAGAGCTGTTGGACATTTGAGTCTGGTGGAGTCTCCTTCTCCAGAGGTGTTTAAGCAGAAGATACATGTGGCCTTCTGCCTGGAGGTTTTGAATTGTGTCTTCCTGCCTGGCAGAATAGAGCTGAACTGCATGGCCCTGATGGGGGCCTTTTCTGAGATGTCCCCCCTTGTGCCTCTCTCTCAGCCCCCCAAGCGCAGCTCCTTCCCCTGCCCCATCTGCGACCGCGTCTATTCGATGCAGAAGCGGCTCACGCAGCACATGAAGACGCACAGCAGCGAGAAGCCCCACATGTGCGACAAGGTGAGTGTGGAGGGGACAGATGGATGGACAGAGGGCGGGCGGGCAGGTTTGGGGAGATGCAGACCAGGCTCTGAGTGAGACCCCTCCCTCCCTCCCTCCTTCCCTTGCAGTGCGGGAAGTCCTTCAAGAAGCGCTACACCTTCAAGATGCACCTGCTGACCCACCTCCAGGCCGTGGCAAACCACAGGTGAGGCGTCTTTTGGAATGGAGTCGGGAAAGGGTTGTGTTGCACTCTAGCACTGGAACACCTTTTCACCCAGCAACACACACGAGTCCATCTCAGAATGTTTATTGAAGAAGGCAGGTAAAAAGAGGAAAGGGCACTTCCAGAAGGGTCAGAAGAATGGCAAATACAAAATAGCAATAATCCAAAAAGGACAAAGTACACAAAGTCAAGAGCGCTAAAATCCACAGCGAGACTTCAAATATAAATCCATGAACAAGAGAACAGGAACTTTTCCAAGGCAAACTCTTCAAGGCATGAACCAGAACAGGAAACTTGAGGACACTTGAGAGCAGAGACAGACAGGAGAGCCCTCCCTTGGCAACGTTGCCTCCTCTGAGTGGCATAAAGCCAACACCACTTAATTTAAGCCCGACCAAGTAATCATGAGATCATGCCGAATGCACCTGGGCTTCAAGGCCTTCTCACGGATTCTCTCAGAACTTCTAATTACTACTTCATCACACTAGAGAATGAATCCACTTGAAATCCACTTTCTGCCTCCTGCTGAATTCTGGGGTTGGTAGGTTGAGGTTGTTAAATGCTCCTCCCTAAACTACAAACTCCAGAATTTTGCAGGAGGCAGAAACCGGATTTAAAGTGGATTCATTCTCTAGTGCAGGGATCCTCAAACTTTTTAAACAGAGGGCCAGGTCACAGTCCCTCAAACTGTTGGAGGGCTGGATTATAGTTTGAAAAAAGCATGAATTCCTATGCACACTGCACATATTTTATTTGTAGTGCAAAGACACTTAAATTCTCTCCCCTCTCTTGTTTAACATCTCTATGCGACCACTTGCTCAGCTGGTTCGAGGTTTTGGGCTGGAGTGTGACCAGTACGCCGATGACACTCAGCTGGTGCTGAAGATGGAAGGCCGACCGGACTCTGTACCCGATTGTTTCCATCAGTGCCTCGAGGCCATTACTGGATGGCTGCGTGCCAGCAGGTTGAGGGTGAATCCAGCAAAGATGGAGATCCTATGGCTGGGTCGACCGGGCAGTGGGGACATCCAGCTGCCTACCCTGGATGGCCAGGCACTACACCCGTCATCGTTGGTCAAGAGCCTGGGAGTCCTTTTGGACCCTCTTTCTGCTGAGGATGGAGGCCCAGGTCTCTCTCCGCCGTGAGCAGAACCGCCTTCTTTCTTTCACCTGCGGCAGGCTAGACGGCTGGCCCCCTCCCTGTCCAGGGACGACCTCGCTACGGTGATCCAGGCCACGGTCATCTCAAGACTGGACTACTGTAACACCCTCTACATTGGCCTTCCTCTGTCGGTGATCCGGAAGCTCAAGTTGGTGCAAAATGCAGCTGCTCGGCTTCTTGCGGGAATTCCGATGAGATGCCACATAACACCAATCTTACTACAGCTGCATTGGTTACCCATTGAGCACCGGATCACTTTCAGAGTGATGGTACTCACCTTGAAGGCCTTGCATGGTCTGGGGCCGATGTACCTGAGGGACCGCCTCACCCCCTCCCAACCCCAGAGATCCCTCCGTTCTGAGGACCAAGATCTATTGGAAATTCCCAGTGTCAAGACCTTGCGTCTAACAGCAACCAGGCGCAGAGCCTTCACAGCAGTGGCACCATCACTCTGGAATGCTCTGCCACCTGAAGTCCGTGCCTTGCGGGACTTATCAGCTTTCCGCAGGGCATGGAAGACATACCTGTTTCGACAGGCCTTTGATCTCTGATATTGCTGTTTTTAAATTGTTTTAAATTGTTTTTCAATTGTGTTAGATTTTAGCCTGTTCTTGTAAGCCGCTCCAAGCCCCAGGGGAGTGGCCGCATAGAAGTTTGAACAATAAATAAATAAATAAATAAATAAATAAAAAATTAGTATTTCAATGAGAAGTGTGGGCCTGCTTTTGGCTGATATAGGATTGTTGTTGTGTGCTTTCAAGTCGTTTCAGACTTAGGTTGACCTTGAGCAAGGGCCAGGTAAATGACCTTGGAGGGCTGTATCTGGCCCCCAGGCCTTAGATTGGAGACCCTTGCTCTAGTGTGATGAGGCTCTTACTCTATTTTTCACTCCCTCCGTTCTCAAACCTAATCTGACTTCTTGGGAAAATTCCCCATCGGCCATTTCCCAAGAGAACTGGTTTCACTTGACTGATGACAGGAATGCAAAACATCGTTCTCAACTTCCTGCATTCTCTCCCAGCACTGACAGACTCACCACTTTGAAAGCCATCAAACCCCTCATCCTCTGACATGTCAGAACAATCTTCTGCCGCTTGCTGAGCTACAACAGATTTGCCTGCTGGGATAGGATTCTGGGGACTGGGATCCAAATCCTTGTTTAAGGTCTGGCTCAATGTTATGGAATCGTGGAATTTGTAGTTCAGGAAGGAACAAGGATTCCCTAGCAGGATGCGTTAAGGACCTTGTGAAACTACAGGTCACATGATTCTGCAACAGGGAACCTCAGCATTTAAGGAAATGATGTCAAACTACATCCAGAGGTGTTGTCTGAATGGAAAACAATAGCCATGTCTTCACCTGTGGCTTTTCACTTTGATGGGGATCTTTTGTGGGGATCTTGTGTCACTGATACGAGTGGGTGGGGAGGGGCTCATCTGGGTGAGGCAGGGGGTACACCCTGCAGCCCCCTTGACAGCCTGACCTCCTCCTCCTCCTCCTCTCCTCTGGCCAGGTTCAAGTGCGAGTTCTGTGACTACGTCTGTGAGGACAGGAAGCTGCTCCTCAACCACCAGCTCCGCCACGTCAACGACCGGCCTTTCCGCTGCAGCCTCTGCCCTTACGCCACCGTCCGCGAGGACTTCCTGCTCTCCCACACCGCCGTCAAGCACACAGGTATGGGGGTTGTTTTTCCAATGAGGGGGGGCAGCACTTTTCCATATTGAGGTGGGGGGCAGCTGAGGTCATGAGGTGGGTGGTCATCTGTTGGGGATGCTTTGATTGTGTATTCTTGCCTGGCAGGGGGTTGGACTCATCCCACTCTAGGATTCTATTGACGCTTCCTTCCAAAAATCACAGATTCCTAGCATTGGAAGGGGGGGTCCCCTGGAGCTCATCAGGCCCCTCCCCCTGATCAGTGTCCAGCAAAAGAGACCCCAACACTTACTTCCACCATTGGTCCCATTGGCACAACACTCTTGTTGGCAAGAGGTTCCTTTACGATGTTTTTAGCCTTCTCTGCCAAACAGTGCTGGTATCTGAACCACGCTATAACTCCCATGCTCTCATAACAACAAGCCCTGATAGTTGAAGTGGTGTCAAACTACATTCATTCCGCAGTGTAGATCAGGTAAGGACCAATGTTGGTCTTCCAGGTGTTTTGCAATTCAATAGCCTCAGGCCCTTTCCTTTTCCCCCTCAGTCCATCTGTTGGGAGGGTTTGATTGGGTGTTCAAGAGCATTCCTGCCTGGCAGAACGGGGTTGGACTGGATGGCCTTTGGGGGTTCCCTTCCAACGTGTCCTCCCGCCTTTTCAGGAGGGAAGCCCTTTGCCTGCGAGTTCTGCCACTTCACCACGAGGCACAAGAAGAACCTGCGCCTGCACGTGGGGGGCCGCCACGCAGAGCGCTTTGAGGAGTGGGCCCAGCGCCACCCCCAGGAGCCCCCCTGCCGCCGGCGCCCCTTCTTCACCCTCCAGCAGATCGAGGAGCTCAAGCAGCAGCAACAACAGCACAGTCCGGCCGGAGCTGCCCTCCCCACGGACCCCAGCACAACGGTCAGTAGCACCGCTCTTGGGCACCCCAGCCACCCTTGGCCACCCTTTTCCTGGCTGCTCTTGTGGCGCAAGGTGTTGCACTTCAGAACAGGAAATAGCCCCTCTGATCATAAACACACCACACGTTGAGTGAAGGAACAATCCTTTTTATTCAAGCTTAGCAAAAAGCCAGTAGAAATAAATGCTTGTAAAGATAGATAAGATTCCAAAAAGCAATAAGGCATTCAAAGGCAGCAAGATAACACTGTGTCCAAACATAGCAATCAAAAGCAATGTTCAAAAAGCGTGAAGATACAATCCAAGGCAATGATTATCCAGAGAGGAATCAAACAAGAAGCAAGAACAGACCAGACGCTGCTAGTCAACTTGAAAGGCTAGAAAAAACCATGAAGACGAGATCACTTGAACAGGAATTCCATGAGGCTTGTGCTAGGTTTCCAAACGATGCCTGATCTGACAAGATTTTCTAAAGGCAAACCTTAAATCCCAAAAACTGGTTTCGTTTTCCCCCAGTCTTTGACTTTAATTGATGAATTCTTTCGGATCTACGTAAACATTGGGCCTCTTGTCGATTCTGGCTAATCTCCAGCCGCCGACTCTGCTTATCTGACTCCTCATTAACTTTCCCAGGTGCCAGACTGTTTTCCAAACTAGAATCTGGAGAGCTCACAGGCGGAGGGAGTAAACCTTCCTCCCAAGGCCTGACAGAAACATTCTCATGAGAATCTGCCCTTTGCACCGAAGCCTCTCTGTCAGTGTCTGCATGAAACTCATTGACCAAAGTGTCTCCATCTTGCACCTCAGAGTCAGCCCCAGCATCCCCCACATCAGAAGCAACAGGGGACTGATTTCCCTCCTCATTACCCACATCAGACACAGAAACATCAGGAGACTGAAACACAATCACAGGTTCAATCACAGGCTGAGTCCCAACACAGGGCACCAATTTGGTTCTTAACATTGATCAGACTAGGGAGCCAATAGTAGATTACAGAAGGAATAGATCAGAAATCCAGCCTTTGGTTATCAATAGTACTTTAGAACCATTTAGAACCACGGATTGCACATGCCTAGCAGATGGTACAGAATGATAAAAACAAGAACAAATGGACCGAGAGGGAGCTTTTATCCCAGAGCTGTGACTATATTGAACCCTATGAGTACCCCTCGGGGTGAGAAAAGCAGTATACAAATACTGTAAATGCATAATAAATAATATGGTTTCACACTGATGTGGCATTACAGGGTCGTGCAAGAGTGATTAGGAGGTGGAAGGATGGCTGTTTTGTTTTTGGAAATTTCTTTACATGGCATACAGTGACAATGATGAGGTTATTCTATTCTTTCCCCCTTCCCAAAATCCACTCCACCCACCACTTGTTCTCCTGCAGGTCACCTACCAGGCCGTACAGGCCCCCCCTGACCCACCGCAGACCCCCGTCCTCTCCCAGGAGCCTCTGGAGGAGACCACCATCATCTATGAGCCAGGTGCGTGCTGGGAACAGAGCACACGTTTTTACACATCAAGAGATTGTATGTTCTGCTTTGTTGGGGTGGGGGAGCTTTCGGTCTAGCACAGTGTTTCTCAACCTTTCTAATGCCGTGACCCCTAAGTAAAGTTCATGTTGTGGTGACCCCCAACAATATTTCCGTTGCTACTTCATAACGGTAATTTTGCTACTCTTATGAAGCATACTGGAAATATCTGATATGCAGGATGTATTTTCAGTGTTATAAATTGAACATAGTTAAAGCATAGTGACTGAGCACAAAACAGTATGGACAGTGGATGATGGGATTCGCAGTATCTCCAACCGATTCATCTCTGAGTTCCACAGACCACTGAGACCCCCACAAATTATAGACCTGGAACAAACTTAGCACAAAGAACCCCAATGCCCAACAGAAAATACTGGAGGGGGCTGGGAGGAATTGACAACAATTTATGGGAGATGTAGTTCACCTACATATGGAGAGCGCTGTGAACACAAATGACTGTACATTTCGACCCAACTTGGCACAAATACTTAATATGCCCAAATTTGAACACTTTGCGACCCCCCGAAAATGGCCCAACAACCCCCGTGGGGGTCGTGACCCCCAGGTTGAGAACCGCTGGTCTAGCAGATGGGTGGACGGACCCCTCCTGTTGATGTCTTTCGTGTCTCCCCCTTCTTCCAGATGTGGAGGGCTCTGCAGAGTTGGCCACACAGACAGCGCTGGACCTGCTGCTAAACATGAGCAGCCGCCGGGAGATGCCCGCCAGCACTTTGGAGGTGAGGGCTCCGGCGTGACCCACACAGGAGGGAGGGGGGTCCTCTGTGTCAAGAGGGGTCTTGGCAGCCCGGACCCACAGAGGCCTCCCTCTCCCTTCTCTCTCCTGTGGGATACTTTTCAGGCCTTTAAATATACTTTATAGAACTTCAGGCTTCGCAGCAGAAGCGAGTTCTAATGGTCATAGTAACTCAGAGTGCATTAAACACTCTGAGTTACTAAGATAGTCTCCGTCCCAACCAGGAAGGCTCTTTTAATATTTATAGTTCCATAAACTGAAATATACCCAGTTTCATAGAATCATAGAATAGTAGAGTTGGAAGAGATCACAAGGGCCATCTAGTCCCATCGTATTTCCCGGCATACAAGGCGACTGGGGGTATAAGACGACCCCCCAACTTTTAAAGATAAAATACAGAGTTAGGGATATTCTCTGGGTTTAAGACTACCTCTCTTCCAAAACTATGCCCCCATGGCCCCCGCTGCTCTCTATTCAAGGACCACCTCTGCCCTCGCTGCTTACCTCCTCCGAAGGCCATTGGGTTTTCCAAGGAAGCGTCTCCGGAAGCCAACTCCCAGCAGCGCTGGGGAGTGGTGTGCCTTGGATGTGCTCCCAGAGGCATTCGAGCAGCTCGCATATGAGCAGCTCAGCCTGTCATTGAACATGGAGAAAACCAAAGTGCTGTTCCAGCAGTCACCAGCCACCCCCTCCCCAATGCCAGAGATACAGCTTAATGGTGTAGTATTAGAAAATGTGGACCATTTCCGCTCCCTTGGCAGCCACCTCTCCACCAAAGTCAACATCGACACCGAAATACAACACCGCCTGAGCTCTGCGAGTGCAGCATTTTCCCGAATGAAGCAGAGAGTGTTTGAGGTCTGGGACATCCATAGGGAGACCAAAGGACTTGTTTATAAAGCTATTGTCCTCCCAACCCTGATATACGCTTGCAAAACATGGACTATCTACAGACGTCAACATTGAGACTGAAATACAACACCGCCTGAGCTCTGCGAGTGCAGCTTTTTTCTGAATGAAGCAGAGAG